TGCTATAAAATTTCGTAAAATTTACGATAAGTTTCGTGACAGTGTACCAGGTGGCTGATTCATGCCGCGCACTTTTGCAGTTATACTGTACCGCATGCACGCGTGCGGGCGGGTTGCCTAATCGCATGGGGCCGCGGGGCGCCGTGGGCAGCGACGGTAGGCAAGCCCGCCCGCACGCGTGCATGCGGTACAGTATAACTACGGGGGTGCGAAGCGTGAGTCAGCCACCTGGTATAATATTTTGTTTTTTGTTCAGGTACCTCCTTATCCGACAGACGAAGCCAATGGTTTCTCACCCGAACGGAACTACGAGTCATTCCGCCCGGGACCACTGCATTTCATCGTGCGCATGGACCTCAATCGCAAGGCCCAATCACTGCAAAATCCACGGCTTAAGCTCCATCACACCGAGAAATCCGCCCTTGATGAAGCCGTCGAGAGCATTAGTGCCGGCGTGGATCGAAACATCGCGTCAAGTAAGTCTAGTTCATCAATAAAAGATTACGGAGAATATTCACCGTCGGCTACAGTGATAGTGATCCTTGCTACACTGTAAAACTGTAGCTAACCGTGTTTATTTCCCATTTTACTTCTTCACGCCACCCAGCTCTGAAATACCCTATTACTGCACGCCAATAACTAAAAACTTTGGAATGTATTCAGGAAATAATGCATACGTGTATAAACCGATTACTTCTGTCTCATATTTTGTTTCAGAATATCTGGATGTCGCGAGGAAAGTCAATTCAACACTCCGACCGCAACTAACCAGCATAGCATCAGAGCTGGAGAGCCTGGATAAGTTCTGGGCCATCGCCAACAACGTGTCACTCAGCGACAGCACTAGAGCCATCGCTAAGCTCCTTGCCCTAACCATGGAAAAAGGTACAGAAACAGTCAGGTCCGCAGGGCCGGTCCTGAGTTATCGGTGGTATTTCTGCAAAAACCTGCGGTGTTTTATTTAGTCCGCGCCCTATTACGCCCTCCGCGCCGCTGACGCTGACGGATACTCGAGCGGCGGGTTGAGGAGCTCCAGGGCCTCCGGGAATGATACCCGTGGAGGTCCGATATCTTTAAATGGCTAAAACTTAACTTCTCTGAGCCATTTGAGATACAGCGTCCAGGTTTCTAGTTTAATTTTAGAAAGCACCATCGGATTTCCCGCGAAATTTCCGATCAAACGAGCCTACATGTGATAGGGTTATGAACAAAGGTTCTCTAAGAACACGTCTTATTCCGTAATATAATTTAAACTCCGAAGCCTATCACATGTAGTCTTGTTCGCGGGAAATCCGATGGTGCTTTCTAAAATTAAACCAGACCTCGTTTAGAAAATGTTCCACAAAAACTGAAATATGCACCGCGTTATCATCTAGTGATAACATGCGTTATTACGCTGTATTCAGTGAGGGAGACAGCTGCCCTATGGGTATGGGTACTGGTTGAGGGACTGGTTATTTAGCACAAACTGTGAGAATTCTAACATTATTTTCTTTTTTTTTAGGATTACCGGCTAAAATGGATGTTTGGCTACCCGGACACGGTGAATGGATGTCCTCCACCATGGAGGTTGAAAGAAACAGCCGCCAGTTGACTATCCTTCCAAAGCTGATGTCAGCCATGCCTGTCAACTTTAGAAGTAAGATTTGAGAGGTTCATGGTGGAACTTATAGTTAGCTTTTTATATTATGTATCCTCGGTTTGTAACCAGTTCGATTTAAGTACATTCTCGGCGTGGTAGTAATCACTACACCTTACCGTTGTCTGTCCGCCGAAAAGTGTGTCAACACTGATGCAGTACTTTCCCATCCCCGTCTCTGTATTGATATTTTAATCCCGTTTCGTTTCAGAATATATGGATGTCGTGAAGGACGTCACTTCGGCACTCCAAGCGCAGCGAACCCTCCCCGCCCCGGACTACTCTGCCCTGGAGATGCTCTGGGCCATTGCTAACGACATGGCGGTGAGCGACGAGGAGAAGAGGCTCGTGAGGTGGCAGGCCATCGCCATCGCGTCTCTACCGCGGGCCGCCGACAACAGCGGCCCGAGCCTCGTCACCGACCTGGAAGAGTACCTCTCCGGGTCCATAGACGCCGTGAGGGTGGCCGCCAAGCAGCAAGACACGGCCATGAAGAAGTTCATGTTCAATCGGGCCCAGACGACTATTGCGGAGTTGAACGAGAAGCTCAATGCCACGCTCCACTCGTTGAACTTGGACGTTCTGCCAGCAATCCGTCGTGAATTAGAATCTTTGATCGCGAAGGAGCGCGAAGTAAGCGCGCTGGCCGAAGCTGCGAAAGATAACGCAGGAGAATATGCCCAGGAGCTGAAACGAATCGAGGCTAGTAAAAGGTGTGCCCGCTTTTTCGATATCCTCGGTCAAGTGCTTGAATCAATAGGTAAAGTTATATCGACTGGTTTCGAGTCACATGGTGCAGGCGTCGAGTTTGCCGGCGG